AGTTGTTATAATTTTTTATATGTTCTATTCAGCGTGCAAGAAATTTGATAGATAATAACTTGTTATATTTTATAAGTTTTTACCTTTATACATTTAATTTTGCACAATATTTTATTTTATCATCTTATTTTATAAAGTATCTTTTTAATTTTTTAATCCTAACACTATTAGATTCATTACAAAAAAAATTATATTAAATTTTTAAATATTAACAAAATATTCTCAAATGTTAACATATTACATTTAGTTTTTATTAAATAACAATGATTGATAAAAAATAATCATTTGAAATTAACACTGTTAAAGTTAGAAAAAAAAAAGATACTTTATAAAATTATGAAACTAAATTAAAATTTTAAACAAAATTAGAAAATAAAAGTATAATTTAGTACTCCCTTCGTTGAAAAATATAAGACATTTTTAATCGAATCTCGCCCCTAATAAAGTAATTATCTACTTTCAAACTAACCATATCATTTTATATTTACCCCTATTAAATACCTTACAATAAATATAAAGTCATTATTAATAGGGGCACTTAAAAAAAATAATTGCACCTCGAAAGACTAAAAATACCTTATATTTTTAACATTCAACTTATCAAAAAATGCCTTATATTTTGAACGGATAGAGTATAATATATTTTGTAAGTAGTTACCATATGCATGTTTAAAACCCAAATATTGGAATTATTAAAAAGTCCAAATATTATATTTTATTCAAGAACTAGATTTTGCCCCATACGATGTAAGGGAATATTTTAATTTTTAAGAATAAAAATAAATATTTAAAAATTATTTTAATATCCCTAAAGTAAAATATTATTTTTTCTTTTATTTTATCTTAATTATAAATTTTTGTATTTTAAAATCCATATGAATCCCTCTTAAAATTAATAATTAAGAGTTATAAAAAATAAATATGCATTTTATTTTTAAGTTTTCATTTTCACCCATCTAATCATTATTTGACAGTTAAAATTCTTGATATATTCTTTTAAATTTTTGTTTATATCTTGAATTTATTAGTCATACAAATTAATTTATTTAGTTTTTTTAAAATTAAATATGTATTCCATCTTTTTAAAACCATAAGGCATTTTTCATCAATTTTACCTCAATAAAATAGTTATTTATCTTTAAAATAATACCATCTTTCCATATTTACTGTTTAATTAGGTGTTTTATACTAAAATAAATATAAAATAATTTACTCAATATGGACATTTTTGAAAAAAAAAGTCAATGATTACACCTTTAAACACTAAAAATGTCTTATATTTTTAATATCAAACTTTCAAATAATAACCCCTACAAAATTACTTACATTTTTTAATGAAGAAATTCAATTTCCTAAAATGATATTTCAAACACGTATCTGTAAAAAAAAAAAAAACCTTAATGGAATAAGAGATAAATTAGCCAATGTATTTATGTTTATATTTATTTAAATTTTATAATTTTTATTTCATAAGGCATCCCCACTGTCATAAGTGTTTAGCTTAGAATCAACTTTTACATATAAATAATAGAATAATATATTTTTATTCCTTATACATTCAAAGAATATAAATAAAAACTTGTTGTATATATGCTCACACAAACTATTTTGATTTGTTATTGTGTGTTAATAATAAATATATAGAAAATTCTTTATATATCTAACACTTATTATTTTACTAAGAATCTTATATTCACTATTAATTTTTACTATAAAATCCTATATGATCTTTCAAAATAAAAAAATATTATTATTTTTTACACTTTGTTTAACTTTTTAAAATTTATAAATGTAAACCCCACTCACATTTTTTTAATGGTAGTCCCACACACTACTTTTTTAAATCACACTACTCTAATTTTTTAAAAATTAAGTTTATTAAAATTTTACATTTCCTTCATTACCCTTAGAGCTTCAATTCCTATTTAGTTTAAAATATCTGACTACATAAAAAATTTATAGTCGAGCTTGAATATTAACACCTTTAGCTTTCAAGTTTATCTAAGCTAGTTTAATTACCCCAAATTATTAAAAATTATTTTATTTTTGTTTCTCTTTACTAAGTCCATAAATTGCATCCTTAAAATTTTTTTGGCCAATTTATATATTTAATTTTTAAAAAATTTACAAAATAAATACATTTAAATAATAAAAAATCATTTCTTCGGTAATTTAAATAATTTTTAGACATCATTTATATTTGAATAAAGGTATTTTAATCCAACATATGTAACTTAATGATCAACTAACAGGTAAGTGGATGAAAATAAAATATTAAAAATAAAAGGAGGCTTGTATTTTATAAGTTTTATATTAACAATTTATTTTTTGTGGGTTACACATGTACCTCTTTTACTACAGGGGTCCACATTATTCTTTATTTTTTTTATTTACTATATCATATTAAAAAATTAACAAAAAAAATAAAAATTCATATATACAATACCCATCTGAAAAATAAAAAAGGAAAAAAAAAACATTGGATCATGTAACTAATTAAAAATTATAAAAACATGTAAATGAATTTTAGACAATATTTATAGTTAAATAGGGTTATTTTAGTCCAACACAAGTGTTCATGTATTTTATAATAGTTAACTAATGGTTAGGTAGGTGAAAATTAAATTTTAAAATAAAATGAAGGCTTGTATTTCATGAATATCTATACTAAAAAAATATTCATATAGGTTTCAAAAAATAGAAGAAAGGTATCATTAATTAAGATAAAAATAAATAAAATATTTTACTCATTTTTAATTAGAAGTTTCATATTAACAATTTTTTTTTCTGTAGGTCTCACATGTATCTCTTTTATTATAGGGCCCACATTATTCTTTTTCTTTTTTATTTTCTGTCTCATATTTAATGTTAATTAAAAATTTAAAAAGAAAAACAAAAAATTGGATGTACAATACCCATTCAAAAATTAATTTTTGTTCCTTTTTTTCTTGGTTTATGATTGTATTTTGATGTGGATTGATCCATTTTTTTTTATTCAGGAAAAAAAATCTATTGGTTCCAATTTGAGTTTACACTTTCTTTTTTATTTTTAAATCATTTTTTTTTAATTTTTATAAAAATACTTGCCATTGATTTTGAAATATGTTACCCGTTCCTTTTTTTTTCTTTGTTTCTAGATTGTATTTTGATTTGGTTGATATATTTTTTTATCTGATTCTGACTTGATATTGATATTGATTTATCTAATTTAATTCCCCAAGATTTGTTTTTTATTCCTTTATTTTACTTTTTATTAATTTTCAATTTTTATTTTTTAAAATTATTTATATGGTTGTCAATTACCAAGGACAAAAAAGAGAAAACACTGTTCAAAAAACTGTTCATATATAGTGCCACAGACGCACTTTATAATATAACTAGATCTATTAGATTTAGAGGTCTGAAATGATCACGTAGTGTTTCAAAAACTGTCATGGCTTCTTGAGTTTAAGCTAGGACACTCAAAAATCCCACGGAAGACAAACTTATGATTCAATACATATTTATCATTTCGTTGTCTTACTTGCCAAGCTCTAAATTGTTAGTAATGAACTAGTTTTCAAACTGGTTCCACAAGAAATTCATGCGACTTCTTCTTTTCAACTTCTGCATATTCAGATGATGCATGGCTTGGACCTTTTGGATATTTATCTTCTAGAGTTTTTTCTTGACTTTGTAATTTTTATCTCTATTTGTAATTTTTATGCTGTTGAGTCTACAAGTCTAGTTTTTATTTAACAAAATAATAATAAAATCCCTCTAAAATATATAAATAACAAATTAATCCTCAAAATACTATAATTTCACTAAAGTTTTTAGGGACTTTTCTGTCATTAATGAATTTATACAAATGATGAAATTGCTTTTATTGAAAATAAAATGATTCACAAGTTTTGTTTAAATATTTACAACTTTTCTTCTTATATTCGCAATAATGCAGCAATAAATCAAAAATTTAACATGTGAAGTTGTAATTTACTATTGTATTATTATGAATATAAAAAAATTATGATTATTTAAACAAAATTTATGAATCATTTTATTTTCAATAAGAACAATTTAATCATTTATATAAATTCATTAATAATAAAAAAGTCCCTAAAGATTTCAGTAGAATTATGATATTTTAAAAGATTAAATTATCATTTATATAATTTAAAATTTTTTTATTGTATTTTCCTTTTTTATTTTTGTTCAGTCTGTAGTTTTTGTTGTTTCATTTTTTATTTTGTAATTTAGTTTGGCCCTTAGAAGTCTTTCTTGGACTTGGCTTCTTCCTTAAGAAGAGGTAAGCTATTTGCTGCATCTTCTCTGTAAAAGAAGAAATCTAGACCATCGAGATTTAATTTAGATAATCCACATTCAATATATTTTTTAATTTTTTATTAAAATAAAATTTTTAATAAATTTATTTAAATTCAGCTTTAATATAGGTGGACTATACGTAATGGTGCTCAAAACCAATTAAAATCGAACACACTAAACCAAACTGACATGAAACAATCAAAACCAACTATAAATAAGGTTTGGTTTAGTTTTTCTTTTACCAAAACCGATTAGTTTAGTTTGGTTTAGGTTTTTGCTTCTGAAAACTTAAATCAAATTGAACCAAGTTTTATTATATTTATTATATGTATGTATAAATTTATCAAAGCTTTTTCCCCTTTTCAAGTTTATTTATTTGTAAATCATTAGTAAAAATAAGTTATAATTAGGTAAATTTTGTTTATTATTATTTACGATAATTTTTTAATTTTATAATCAAATGTCTTAAAGATAATACTTTGATTTTTAATAGTTAAGTATGCTATTAAATTGTTTAAAAAATATTCTTTTGTGCTCAATAGATTTTTTCATTGCATATAATAATTAATAGTTAAAAATTATCATTGAACATGAATATATATTAGTAATTATGAATAATATCTCATTAAAAAGTTTAAACTTGATCCAAATCTAAACTAAATTCCTAAAAAACCAAACTAATTAAAGGCCCCAAATCGAATTGTTTGGGATTCAGAAGTGAAGGAAATTATTTTATCTACTAATAGTGGACAAATTGGAGTATTACCAAATCACGCGCCTATTGCCACAGCTGTAGATATCGGTATTTTGAGAATACGCCTTAACGGCCAATGGGTAACGATGGCTCTGATGGGCGGTTTTGCTAGAATAGGCAATAATGAGATCACTGTTTTAGTAAATGATGCGGAGAAGGGTAGTGACATTGATCCACAAGAAGCTCAGCAAACTCTTGAAATAGCAGAAGCTAACTTGAGTAAAGCTGAAGGCAAGAGACAAACAATTGAGGCAAATCTAGCTCTCAGACGAGCTAGGACACGAGTAGAGGCTATCAATATTATTTCGTAACAAGTTGGTGCGTACGAATAAAATAATTCAAAATCCAAATAGGTTGTATAAACAGAAGTTTTTTTGTACAACCTATTTGGATTTCTGTTGATTGAATAGAATCAAATAGTGCAATCGAATTGTAATGCAACGAAAGGAAATTCAAAAAATGAATAAATAAGATGGAAAAGATACAAAATCAATAAAAGAAAAAGGTGAGTAAAAAAACTTATTAGATACCCATTGACTCTGGGAGCTAAAAAGTTCTACCTATACCTACTATTGGATTTGAACCAATGACTCCCGCCGTATGAAAGCAATACTCTAACCACTGAGTTAAGTAGGTCATTTATTATTCCAAAGAAAAACAAGTGGGACCTATCATATCGATGGATTATAAATGGAATATTACTTATAAGCAATACCAATCAAAGAGATTAGATCATGTAATATTCATCTTGACAATAAATTCTCTACATAATATGATAAAATATGTATCAAAAGCACAAGGGCTATAGCTCAGTTAGGTAGAGCACCTCGTTTACACGCGCGCCAATGTTTTTTCAGAGGAGTCCATCATGTAATCAAAAGAGTTGATCTTATTGAGAAATCGATGTCTTACTCCATGACTTTTAGGGAACAAAACAAGAGAACAATAGCCTGACAAAGGGTTCGGTACGATTCGAGTGTACATTTAATTTAGACGGCAAATAGAACCCATCATTGATTTGAGATTTTGAGATATTGATAAGGTGAATACCTAGTCTATTCAATGCTAGGCATAATGAGTATAGGGACCTCAAAAAAATTCTCTTTTCGTCCTATCTTATGAACTTTAAGGTGTATGAAGTTTCCTATTTTATTCTTTAATTTAATTTAAGAAGGTCGATAGAGACTCCATTTAACTTAAGTTGATCCAGGCCAGAAGCAGACCTACGTCAGGATAACCCTTCTTTGAAACACTTTGGTAGTGCTCTTAGATTGGAATAAAAACCAAATCAGAGCACATGGAGCCATCTCCTTATCTTTCTCTTTCTGTCAAGAAAAAAGATGGTAGATTAACTGATCTTTTTATCAGTTAATGAAAAAGCCCAATGCAAAAAAGATGCACGTTGGGTCTGTAAAGCAATTCAAATCATTTTGATAATAATAAGTTTAATCTATTTTACCGAGAAGGTCTACGGTTCGAGTCCGTATAGCCCTAATATTCCTACTAATACTACTAATGTTTCTATTTACTTATTTCCTTTTACTAATACTACTAAATACCTAAATATTAGTAGTAGTCTAAATTCTTTCTTATACTTATAATAGATAATATCTTAACTTAAATAGAATATATTAATATTATTCTATTTATTATTAGTCTGTAAATTAGTATTATATTAGATAGTAGTATAAATTTTTTATACTATTTTAAATTGAAAAATGGATTTCTAATTTAGAAATTTCAATTTCATTTTTCTATTTAATTTCAATATTGAATTTCAAATGAAATAGAATAAGAATATTTCAATAATATATATTTATATTATATATATAATGAATTTCAATATTGAATTAATTTCAATATTGATTATTTATTGAAATCTTCTATTTAATAAAATAATATTTTATTAAAATAGAAAATATTGAGAATTAACAAATAAGATTAATAACAAATAAGATTAATAAAATAATGAAATTTTAACTAGAAGAAATTTGAACTAGAAAATCAAAAAGAATAATGAAATAATGAATATTAATTATTCATTAGTCATTAGTAAATAAATAAAAATAGAAAAAGAAATAATAATTAGAATCAATTCGAAAATAATTCAAAATTGTTTTTGAAATAATTAATATTATTATTAATAATAATTATTAATTAATAAAAAAAAGGAGATTGGATTTCAATCTGGAATTACTTTTCTTTAGAGAGAATTCGAAGTCAGGCGAAAATGCGAGAGTTTTTTTTTGTTTTCTTTGTACGTCATACCAAATATATATATATGGTTATATTTCTATCTTGAAATGAGATATGTACCACAGGAAACAAACGAAACTGAGCAGTTTGCTTCAAATTATAAACAGTTATGGCTGACTTGATAATTAATTCCAATTCGAATCGACTAATAAGTATCTGGTAGATTTTCCACATTCATAGGAGTACATCTATGTTTTTGCTTTACGAATATGATATTTTTTGGGCATTTCTAATAATATCGAGTCTTATTCCTATTTTGGCATTTCTAATTTCTGGAATTTTAGCCCCGATTAATAAAGGGCCAGAGAAACTTTCTAGTTATGAATCGGGAATAGAACCAATGGGCGATGCTTGGTTACAGTTTCGAATCCGTTATTATATGTTTGCTCTAGTTTTTGTTGTTTTTGATGTTGAAACGGTTTTTCTTTATCCGTGGGCAATGAGTTTCGATGTATTGGGGGTATCCGTATTTATAAAAGCTTTAATTTTCGTGCTTATCCTAATTGTTGGTTCAATTTATGCATGGCGAAAAGGAGCACTAGAATGGTCTTAATTCTTGAATATTTAGACAATAAAAAAAACATTGAGACAGTTATGAATTCCATTGAGTTTCCCTTACTTGATCGAACAACCCAAGATTCAGTTATTTCAACTACATTAAATGATCTTTCAAATTGGTCAAGACTATCCAGTTTATGGCCGCTTCTCTATGGTACCAGTTGTTGCTTCATTGAATTTGCTTCCTTAATAGGATCACGATTCGACTTTGATCGTTATAGACTGGTACCACGATCTAGTCCTAGACAAGCAGATCTAATTTTAACAGCAGGCACAGTAACAATGAAGATGGCCCCTTCTTTAGTGAGATTATATGAGCAAATGCCTGAACCAAAATATGTTATTGCTATGGGAGCTTGTACAATTACAGGGGGGATGTTCAGTACCGATTCTTATAGTACTGTTCGGGGCGTGGATAAGCTAATTCCTGTAGATGTCTATTTGCCGGGCTGTCCACCTAAACCGGAGGCCATTATAGATGCTATAACAAAACTTCGTAAGAAAATCTCTCGAGAAATCTACGAAGATCGAATTAGGTCTCAACAGGAGAATAGGTGTTTTACTACCAATCACAAGTTTCATGTTGGGCGCAGTACTCATACCGGCAATTATGATCAAGGATTACTCTATCAACCACCATCTACTTCAGAGATACCCTCTGAAACATTTTTCAAATACAAAAGTTCAGTATCCTCCCACGAAATGGTGAATTAGGCAGGATCCTTTTGTACAAAATAAGAAATTGCATTGTACAAAATAAGAACAAGACAATCTTCAAAAATTTCATCGTAATCATAAATATTAAATACTTATACAAAACTTATACAAATAAAAATGTGGGAGAGATAAAAAAATGCAGGGTCGTTTGTCTGCTTGGCTAGTCAAACATGGGCTAGTTATAGATCCTTGGGTTTCGATTACCAAGGAATAGAGACTTTACAAATAAAGCCCGAGGATTGGCATTCGATTGCTGTGATTTTATATGTATATGGTTACAATTATCTCCGTTTCCAATGTGCCTATGATGTAGCACCAGGAGGACTGTTAGCCAGTGTGTATCATCTTACAAGAATAGAATATGGTATAGATCAACCAGAAGAGGTATGCATAAAAGTATTTGTCTCAAGGAAAAATCCTAGAATTCCCTCTATTTTCTGGGTTTGGAAAAGTGCGGATTTTCAAGAAAGGGAATCTTATGATATGTTAGGAATCTCTTATGATAATCATCCACGTCTGAAACGTATCTTAATGCCCGAAAGTTGGATAGGATGGCCCTTGCGTAAAGATTATATCACTCCCAATTTTTATGAAATACAAGATGCTCATTAAATGAAAAAAATAAGAAACTAATCCGTAGCACTTCTACAACGCCAGATATTCCTTGAATAGCTGTACGTTCTTTTATAGATCAGACAAAGTAATTGAAGTTAAATCAGACAGAATAATTGAGGTCTTATTCATGTTATTATGGATCGGCTAAATAAAAAATGTAGGGATTAAAAAAAATTCGAGTAGGGCTTCATTGAGATTTGAAAGTTGTTAAGATACTTATTTCGGATGAGCCGAGCCAATAGGATGAACTAAAAAAGTTCTGCATCATGAACTATGTACCGCGCACATCAACATCGAAGGAAATGAATAAAATATGAAAGAAAATAGAAAGAAATGAAAGAAGGCGTCAGATTCTATTTGTAATGTATCTGAGATTTATTTTGGCTAGTTCTACCAAATAGGTTTCAGATTATAGTGAATTGATTGGTTTGGTTCAAACCAAACCTATGAATACCCTTAAACTATAGTTTAACTTCTATAAATTAACCATCCAAATATATTCTAGATTATATAAATTTAATATTAAATTTTTTTTAATTTTTTATTATTAAATTTGGACCATTTATATATATATTTATATATATAGTATGATTGTCCTGATTGTTAAATAAATTTATTAAAATTAAAAAATTTAATAAATATAAAATAAAAATAAAAATAAATTAAATTTGAATGGCCTAATTTTCTCCTCCTACGGAGGACATGCACTGGAGTGAAGCCAAGGTCGTCTTTCATAGGGGTCCTTTATGTTTGTAATCTTTTTATGTTTTAATAATAATTGCCTTTATTAAAAAGTTATAAATTATTTAATCATGAAAAGATAGTTTTAAAATGTGCATAAGTTTAAATAGTATATTTTATATTAATATTGATTATATCTGCCAACACTGAAAATTTAGAAATACAGGCGATTCCAAAATTTATTACCTTTGTGACATTGCTTTATTTTATTTCAAAATTTATTAACTCTATATATATCTAAATAAAATATGATTTTAAAAATATAATTTTTTAAAAAAGTACTTTTATAATGTGTTAGCTTCTTTAATGACTATGATACTAATATCACAAAATTTAAATAATGACGTATTTTATTTTAGGATTAATATTCACTTTTATGTTAAAACTTTTTTTAAGGAAAGCTCAGAATTATGTACTAATAAATTGAATATTTTTTTTTAAATTATTTTTTTGAAAAGCAAAAAACTCTTTTTCTTAACTTTTATGTTTTTTGCAAACGCTGCATATGTATGGGGCCCATGAATTAATTTGCGGATGAACTTTATTTCCAAAAGCATTGGGCATTTTCAATTGTTGTTCATATAAAATTTAATAAATATTATTAAAATATTTAATATTTAATAATTTAAATATTATTATGTATAAAAATTCATCCAAATTTATAAATTATTTTTTAAATATTAATAATTCAAATTAATCTTTTAAAAATTTACAGATGACTTATAATTTTTTATATATCAATCATATTTTTAATATTGGTTAAATTTCTTAAATTTTTTTAGGTTATTTTTTATAATATTTTTGGTCAATAAATTGGTCTTCCTTAAAAATATGGATCACCCAAACCTCAATATCTATTTTAATAAAATTATTATTTTTAAAATATTTTTTAAATGTTATGTCACCTAAAATTTTAAGTAAATTTTTAATTTTAAAAAATAAATTATTTTTTGATGTTTAATTAAAAATTATAAAAACTTTCAGGTAAAAATAAAAAAAATTATTACTGCCATCAATTCAAAACGGTCCAATCGTTCGAAGTTAATTTTGATTGTGTGAAAAATGCTTTGCTCAAAATGAGTTAACAAGTCAAGCTAAACCAGTTTTGTATTTGGGCGACAGTTTGACAAGTACAACCATTCATGTTAGTTCAGGTCTTAAAACATTGGGTAGAAGCCATTGGCAACTTAAAGATATTTAACATGTTTAAGTTATTTACTTCTCTTTAGAAGGTATTAATTATTTAATTTCTTGGAAAATGCATATTTTATTTAACGAAATTGCATGTTCTAGTACTCGAAATAAAGACCCAAGATAAACTGATTCAAACATTCAATCCCCTCAACTACTCGAATCAAACTCCCCTCAATAATTCAAATTAAATTTTAAAATGTTTGAATTAAGAAAAAAGAAAAAACAATTATATACTTACACACACATATATAAACATCCATTTAATTTTATTTATTTCGATAATTTGTTTCAAAGTTTTTTTTATTTTTTAATAATAATTTTATTTATTTTTGTGAGAAAATAAAAATAATAAAATATTTGAATTAAGGGGGAAAATAAAAGC